TCGCCGGCATCGAGGCCTGGAAGTTCGTCAAGCGCCAGTTCCACCTCCTGGAGGACCTTCCTGTCAACCGTGGCCACTGGGGCCAGGGCAGCAACGCCGACGACGAGACGGGCACCAAGTTCCGCAAGACCATGTCCATGTCCAGTTTCAAGACATGGGCCTCCTTCTCCCGCAAGGACACTGGAGAGTCGTTCGGACGTGCAAGCACCAAGGTGGGAAGAACAAGCACCAACCACGTCAGCACCGGCGGTGTTGTGGGCGGTGCGCAGGCTATTGCCCAGCAACAGCAGAAAGAGGAGGTTTAAGTTGGCGCCATGTTTTTGGATATATCCGATGGGACTTTTTGTTGAAATTTATTAATGATTTTCACGGCCGTACTTTTTTGCTTATGATATTAGAAACTGAAAATACCATGGTCTGGTTGGTAATATCAGATCAGGCATCTCAGAGATGCGATATACGATACCACTGTAGTGTTAGGCTCTTGAGGAAGTTGGATAAGTCCATCAAGTGAGCGAGAACGGCATAGTGGAAGAATTCAAAAGTTATTACAAAACCAAAATGGAATCATGTGATTTGTGACAAAATGGAATAACCGCAAAGAGCTTCATCAAGTCTTGTTGGCCTGGATCTGAATTGATATGATTGAACCTGTAATATTTCCAAGAACTAAAACTACATCTGGAAACAGAGATAACATCACAAGTCCCACTTACTCTTGTGCCTAGACACAACCAGTTACTTTTTCCTGAACTCCATGCCATAAATTCCACTAGATCCCGTATATATATGGTCAAACACGTTTTATGCCTCCATGTCACAAATAGTCATTATAAAGCCAACATCAGGGCAGCAACGCAGCCAGCAGCTACCGGGGCCAAACCACGATGTCTAGACCAAGATGCCGCAGCAGACTCGCCGCTCTGCGGATCGAGCCCGGTGGCGCTCGACCCGAGATACCACGAGCCAATGTCGGTCAGCTCGCCGGCCTTATTGAGGAAGACGGCGTTGGGGCCCACGTTGGACTTGTCGGAGCGGAAGGCGCCGAAGTAGGTGTACCGGCCAATGTAGTCCTCCGAGTCGAAGAAGGCGATGGACTTGTTGTAGAAGGACTGGGTGGCGGCGAGGTCTTTATTCGCGTATGCGTACTCGGTGATCCAGATCTCGGCGTCGGGCCAGCTATGTCAATATTAGCCAATTGATGTTTCATAGATAGGCTGCTTGTTTTGGGTTGGGTTGGTGACTTACGTAGCTCTGCGCTCGGCAATGTGCGACGACAGCCCCTCGAAGTTGTCGTACCAATGCACGGGGAGGAAGTCCCACGTGCAGTTCCTCGTCGCGCCGCCGGTGCTGACGAGCTGGGAGCAGTTCCCGAGGAACTGCTTGAGCCAGGGGAGGCCGTCCCAGCCGCCGGTACACGCGGGGAGGCCGAGCTTGACGCCCAGCTCGGCGAGGGGCTCAAAGTTGGCGACCCAGGCCTTGGCGGCGTCCTCGGGGACGATATTGCTGCCGCCTGAGCCGGCCGTGCCGTCGGGCTCGTTGAAGCCGAGGACGTGGGTGATGTTGGTTCCCCCCTCGATGAGGGCGCGGACCTCGTCGAGGAATCTCGTGTCGTTGAGGTTGTTGGCGTCGACCCCCCACATCATGGGGACGAACTCGAACTGCTCCTGGGAGAGGTTCGAGTAGGCGGGCGAGGGGCGGGAGTCGTAGTTGTAGTACCAGCTGAGGGACGTGCCGGCCCTTACCCAGATCTTGTTGTCTTCGGGGTGATTTGGTTCGGGGACGAAGCAGAGGCCGCGCTTGTCGGAGCTGGCGGCTTGGGCGGCGGCGAGCAGGCCCAGCACGACGAGGAGGGAATTGGCCATGTCGGCTTGGTATCGTTGACGGTTTTGGGATTGTTGTGCTCGATAGTTCTGGGACGGTTAGACTGCCTGCCTTCCTTCTCTTGGTCGATACCAAAGTCCCGCAGTCAGTTCATGTCCTGGACTTCTGGGCGCCAAGACTTCCTCAAGAAAGGAGTGACAATGGGTATGGAGAATCACGTCTGGAAACAAATACAGTCAAGCATGGCACGGGGAGCATAGTTGGAAAGATAGAATCACCATCGCTGGGAACGAAATTGCGAAATGCAGGTGGCGCGTAGCGAAAGCGGCCGCCCGCAGATTCCGCTGAATCCTTTATCAAGAAGGCATATCGAACACGAAGTTTTTCTTGGCTTTGGATGTAACCGTGGACAAGGATGTTAATCTCACTGGCGGTTAGCATAGCGGATATCCCCACAGGTTGACAGGCATGGCACACATGGCTAGATTCCCCTTAGATTGAGCAAAGAGCCGTTGTAGTCACATCGCCAAGATGACCATCACTTCGTCGGTTCGTTCAAGCTCCAGTTCAGCTTAGCGGATGGGGCATTTTGGACCTGTTGTTTGTTTAATGGAGAGGACTGGCGTCGATGGAGCTTTTAATGGGTCCATGCAAGGCGTTGGAAAGAGGTGGGACGGGGATGCTTAGCAGAGAGCTCCCGCTCTTCGTCAAGGTTGGTTGCAATCATCTCATGGTTGGGATCAGACGATTGGCCCATTCATAGACAAGCATCCATAAGGTGCCATGGCTGATGGGTGGTGCTTGTTGAAGTTGAAGTTGCAGTTTCTAGAAGGTCTCCATCCAGATCTTGGTGGACTATGATTACATAATGCATTGACCGGATCAACTAGACGCCGATCTCCGAAAATGCCTCGGCACGTCGTCGGCCTCGGCCCGACCCCACAAAGTCAGGGACGGAGTGCATAGAGCCCCGGTTAGCAGAGGCAGTGACATCGGAGACAACCTTTAAGCTACTCCGACACCTCATCTTCAGCCGGACTTCCATTTCCTGATCATCTCCCGATTCTCTACACCACACACAACCTCCTCCCCCCAAACAGGAAGACACCATGGCTGCCGAGCGTATCTCTTCTATCGTCCGCCATCTCACCCCGGGCACTCCCCTGAGCAACATGTAAGCTTGCAAGCCACCGCGGAGAAGCTTCCTCCTTGCTGCATCCAAAGTCAAAAACATGCCATTCTGACCGTATAAACTCATACAGCCAGGCTAAGAATGCCGATGACATCGTCATTACTCTTGCCATCCGTACCCCGCTCACAAAGGCAAAGAAGGGCGGGTTCAAGGATACGAGCCTCGAGTACCTCGTGTATGCCCTCTTGAGCCAGGTACGAGAGCGATCTGGCCTCGACCCCGCGCTTGTCGAGGACATTTGCCTGGGCAATGTAAGTATTCGTCATGTTTTCACAACACGATCTTCCTTTACCTCTCTCGGAAGAGTCCATAACTGTAAAGAAGACAAGCTCATAGTTTGCAGGTCTCGGATGGCAAGGCTGCGTATAAGCTCCGCGCGGCCGCATTAGCCGCTGGGTTCCCCAATACGGCCGGCGCCTCGTCGCTGAACCGCTTCTGCTCGTCTGGGCTCAAGGCCATCGCGGACATTGCCCACTCCATCAGCTCCGGGTCGATTGAGGTCGGCATCGCGGCTGGGGCTGAGCTTATGTCCGTCGGTGGGGATCGCCTGGAGGCGCCCTTCGACGACGCCGTCCTGGCTAAGAGCCAGGAGGCGGCCGACTGTATGGAACCCATGGGCTGGACCAGCGAGAACGTGAGCCGCGACTTTGGCATCACCCGCGAGGAGATGGACAAGTTCGCCGCCGAGAGTTTCCGTAGGGCGGAGCATGCCCAGAAGGAAGGCTGGTCTGTGGACGAGATCGCCCCAATCAAGACCAAGGTCAAGGGCGCCGACGGCGAATGGACTGAGGTGACGGTCACCAAGGATGACGGCATCAGGCCAGGTACCACCGCCGAGGGCCTGGGCAAGATCCGGGCTGCGTTCCCCCAATGGGGACCTACCACCACCGGCGGCAATGCCAGCCAGGTCACTGACGGAGGTGAGTTACTGCAATCTGGCTTCTATTGTTTGAGAGAGGAAAGATCAACGTGTTATCTTCTCATCGAGATTGAGTTTTGTTTTTGTTTACGGCCCAACCCCCGCCTTACTCTAAATCACGGATCGAGAAGCTTATTTACTAACTATGAAATCTTAAACCAGCTGCCGCCGTGATTCTCATGAAGCGGTCTACTGCCATCAAGCTCGGCCAGCCAATCATGGCAAAGTACGTCGGATCGACGGTGGCTGGTCTCGCGCCCCGTATTATGGGAATTGGCCCTAGCATCGCGATCCCCAAGCTCCTCTCCCAGCGCGGCATCACTCTGGAGGATATTGACGTGCTCGAGGTCAACGAGGCCTTCGCGTCAATGGCCGTGTACTGCCGCAACAAGCTCGCCCTTGATTGGGACAAGATGAACCCCCGAGGCGGGGCCATCGCGCTGGGCCACCCACTGGGTGCCACGGGAGCGAGACAGGTTGTCACTGGTCTGAGTGAGCTGCGCCGGACGAAGAAGAAGATGCTCCTGACCAGCATGTGCATCGGTACTGGGCAGGGAATGGCAGGCTTGTTCGTGAATGAGCAGCTGTAAGGGACTTGGAGGGATACAACTCCACTGGACGCGTCGGTCTGCTCAAGCAGCCCTCCCTGTCAAGTAATCAGTATATTGTATGACCATGGTATAGCGATCAAGTTGAATAGTACATCATGTTTTTCTCTGTGAAAACACCAGAGGTTGGCGCGTCGCGTCAGTCAAACCTAGTTGTCGTGCAAGGTTAAACTCCCGAGATACGCCATAGGAAACTCTCCTATTACGAGCCTGCAGGAACATCTCGATCCCTCTTACGAGCTCTTTCAGCGTGCGGCAATTATCACGATCCCGCAGATACGAAGAATGGTCAATGGCGCAAGAAATGGATGGTCCGCAACCCCTCCTGTTGCGGACGAGTTCTCAGGTATAAAGCCGGCCCCTTTTTCCCTCCAGTCGGCAGAAACAACAGCAGCATCCCCAGTCGTGAAGACACCAAACAGCAGCAGCCTAGTTCAGACCTCACTGCTACTCCAACATGCGCTACTCAGTGGCTTTCCTTGCGGCGGCCGCTGCCGTTGCGGCCCATCCTGTCCAGCAGGGGTATGCCTCCCCCATTGTTCCCAATGTCGCCTTTCCCCCTTGGAAACCTACCGGTTCATCTAGAGATGTTGATCGCATCCGCTCTATGTTGAGTGTGAGTTAACAGGCCGTTTCATAGATATGCGCAGGGCATGATTGCCCGCGACCCCGAAGCGGGAGATGACATGGCCAATGCTGCCCTCATGGTTCGTACACAGCATAAATACAAACAAGGCTGGCCAGTTGAACGCTAACAAGATATCAACCACATACAGGCCCGACACGACAATTGCCCTATCCCTGAGAAGAGCGAGTTCGTCGCCCCTGAAACCCGCGATCGTCATAAAGACGGAGAGGGGAACCCCATCCGATTCGCGACAAAGGAGGAGAAGGCCGCCCTCAAGCAGGAAAAGAAGGACGCGAGCCAGCCGAGGCAGAGCCTCCAAAGCGTCAAGAAGAAGCTCGACGACTTGACCGTCAATGATGAGGAAAAGGAAGAAAATGAGAGGAAGACGAAGACGTCCGAGGACGAGGCTCAGATGATAGAAAAGGAGAAGAACAAACTCAAGGAGAAGCTCCAGGCCGAGGCCGAGGCCGAGGCCAAGGAGAAGGAGGACATTGCCAAGGATCAGGAGCGGAAGGCTGTGAAGGCCAAGGACAAGGCTCGGAATGCCAGGGAGAAGCACGACAAGGCCAAGGCCAAGAAGGGAAAGGGCAAGCCCAAGCCGCTCACCAAGGAAGAGAAAGATGCAATCTTGGAGAAGAGGGCCCCGGAACCCGGCAAGGAAAAGAAGAAGAGTAAGAAGGAGAAGGACGAGGCTCACGAGAAGAAGCTTGAAAAGGCTACCAAGGAAGTTAAGGAAGCTGCCAAGGAAGCTGCCAAGGACGCTGTCAAGGATGAAGACGGCAAGCCTGAAAAGAAGTCGGACAAGAAGACTATTAAGAAGTCCGAGGAGAAGATTGAGGAGAATATATATGGTCACTCAAAGGACAAGAGGGCCCTCTCCAACGACAAGAAGAAGAAGAAGGGGAAGCAGGGGGCTGCCAAGGTGAAGGAGACTTCCAAGGAGAAGAAGGAGTCCTCCAAGGAGAAGGTAGACAAGGAGTCTTCCAAGGAGAAGGACGACAAGGACTCTGTCAAGGACAAGGAAGCCGATGACAAGAAAGACAAGGCTGAGGAGAAGGAGACTTCCAAGGTGAAGGAGACCTCCAAGGAGTCTTCTGAGGTGAAGGAAGCCGATTCCAAGAAAGACAAGAGGGAATTGTCCTCCAAGAAGAACAAGAAGAAGAACAGGAGCAAGAACAAGAAGAATAAGAAGGATGATGACAAGGACGACGACAAGGATGAGGACGACAAGGACGACGACGACAAGGAGGAGGAATCCGATGCCAAGAAAGTCAAGATCGAGGAGAAGGAGAAGGAGACCAAGAAGGAGAAGTCCAAAGAGACGAAGGACAAGTCCGATGAGGAGGATGATGACTCTGAGTCAGAGGACGATGACGATGACGACCTTGACTTACCGAAGGTAAAATGGCCCCCTCGCGACCTCATCTACGCCCGTGAGAATCATCCTGACATGGGACACAAGTTTGTTCGTGCCGACCCTCAGGATCAGTTGTCACACGACACCATGGTAAGATTCCCTTCTCGCAACTCTATCTGCGCCAGTGAGAACCATTCTAACAAGAGGCACAAGTTCATCCGCGAGGATCCTCCTGACAAGGGACGCAAATTCATCCGCGAAGACCCTCCTGACAAGGGCCGCAAGTTCATTCGTGAAGATCCCCCCGACAAGGGCCGCAAGTTCATCCGCGAAGATCCCCCCGACAAGGGCCGCAAGTTCATCCGCGAAGATCCCCCCGACAAGGGCCGCAAGTTCATCCGCGAGGATCCTCCTGACAAGGGCCGCAAGTTCATTCGTGAGGATCCCCCGGACAAGGGCCGCAAGTTCATCCGCGAAGATCCCCCCGACAAGGGCCGCAAGTTCATTCGTGAAGACCCTCCTGATAAGGGCCGCAAGTTCATCCGCGAAGATCCCCCTGACAAGGGCCGCAGGGTGATTCGTTCCTTTTAACTTGTGACATGACGCGAAGAAGGGGTCCCTAACCCCTAGAAATCTAGAAGACGATCCTCTGGGGGTTGACCGTTGAGTGAGTGCGAGAAACAACAGCCACTTAGTTTCAACATCGCTAATCTTGTTCTTAGTTCCATCCCTGTCACAAATCTGGCGCAGCAAGGCAAGAAGAAACGGATGGACGCATAATTATTGGCCGGGTGTCGTAGCCGGGGAGATAGATTCTGACAAATTGGGCTGCGAGGGGGACCTGGAACCTCAAGGCGAGAGAATCTACCAAGCCCATTGACCGAGGGCCAGCCGATGTCTGTGATTTTCATCAAAAGGGTTGACAGTGTGACTTTATTCGTTTAGTAGATGTATTTTGGAAGTAGTTGAATAGGTTGAGTTCTCAATCTGCCTGCATTACATGGCTTGACGTTTCTCTTGGTGATGCCATATATGTGTCTTTGTCTTGCCTGCCAATCAAACAGTGACTACAGCTCAGCTCGACTACCAGTAGACAGCGACCTAGGGGCTCCAGCTGGCCAGGACTGCATCTCTTCACTGCTCCCGTTTGCTCATAGACTAGGCAAAGCTATAAAGCAACAGAGCTACTCACGAGATGGCACGCATGTCTCACTCTCGCGAGGCAAGCCTCATATCTAACTGAGCATTGTATGGATGAAATCGAAGCATCGACTTGGGTAAACACTTGGACAGGTACAAAAACGCGGGTTCACAACATCGTGACGAGGATGATGGTTGCCAGTCATTGATGGGTGTTTCCATCCCTTCGCGGTTGATTGAGCGTAAAGGGAAAAGTTTCACAACAGCGAGAGGGAACTTTTAAACAACAGCCGCGCAAAGAAACAAGCACTCCTGCCTACGGTCGCAATGACTTTCAATAGGTCATAGCATCTTCCGCTACGATCGCAGCCTCATCGCGGCTACAGGCGGGAAAAGGATCCCCAAACCCTACGAGCAAGCCACGAAAACAACGCAACCGCCGCCGACGTGCCCGGCAAATGGGTATCCCTTCTCGTCGACTACTCACCAAAAACTGGGCAGCACAGCTTAGGTTGATGGCTGATTATTGACGTTGATTAGGCTGATCTTCTAATTTCTCACGAACTATTCAGAGTACTAAAGCGTAAGCCGCGTCTAATGGCGGGCGGGAAACGATGGCCAAACACGGCAACTCTTAACAGATAAGTCAGATTGCAACCGCTTAGTCGAAGCTACTTCTCGAGGGAGATGCCCTAATGAAGACTTCCGATGCTAAGAGGTAGCCATGTTCCCTACAATAGCAACAAGATCAATGACTCACTTTTGCAGGGTTCCATATTCCTTTCCCTTAAAATCACGTTTAATTCTTCAGCACTGCCCTCTTGGTTCCGTCATTTGACTGAGTGCGGATTGTGATATGGATGCAGCTGAAAGTCTTCACAATATCCTTCTGACTAGGGGTTTGGTGGCGAGGGAGCCCTGCCCAGACGGAAGATGCCTGAGTTGTGAGTTGAGGCAAAGTCCCTATTACAACGCGGTGCTTACCATATAACAGTCAGCGCCACACAGAGCAACCTTTGTAGCATACGGCTAGGTAGTAAATGAGAGGTTATTTAGTAGAATGGATGAGGATGTTATTGCTAATCTTGTCGTGATACCTCATAACCAAATGACATATAGAATTTGCTCATGGCTCAAATCAAAATTGAGCTACAAGAATTCCAGCCATGAATGAACAATGGCCGATCCTTGATGCCAGACAGCAATTACAAAAAAAGAAACACAAGCCCCTTCTTCTCTTATACGCGCAATAGTTCCATCTGAAATTATGAAAAAAAGGACATGATCACTTGTACGCGGCTTACGCTTTAGTACTCTGAATAGTTCGCGAGAGATTAGAAGATCAGCCTAATCAACGCCAATAATCAACCATCAGCTTACGGTCGTACGGTATTCTATACATCTTGCATGCGATGATTGATTAATACTACTTGAAACTAACTGGTCCACATGTATCATGAATTCTACATGCAACGCATTAATGACCCATAAGAATAGCTACCGTCGGAAGGAATATCACGTAAGATGTGGATGAAAACCTACTATGCAGTACAGCAATCCTACCTTGACTCGATCAGCAAAGATCTAATCCTGCAATATACGGAGTATATACTCCGTACTCCCAACATGTACTGCTACGTAGTATTAGTAAACTTGCATGAAGCTTACTTGACAATAACTTCCTTCATTTAAATAATACTTGTCCTAACAGCAATGAATCTACTGTAGTGCTTACTGACAAGTCTCTCTACCTTCTACCCATCTCTCTTTGTCCCGCCTTTATTTGCTCTGAAAGTACCAAATTTATTCAACTATGGCCGACAATTTGAAGTTTCATGTCTTCTCCAACCTACCCCCTGAATTACGATTAAAGATTTGGGGCCATGCTATTCCAGGAGACATCACCAACTTGCTATATATCTACAAGCGGGGATGTTGGTCTACTCAGCCTAAACTGGAATCAGATGGGAGATATGGCAATCAGCGCGAGACTGCGGAGTGGTCTTACAGCTTCCGCCCCGAGCTCCTGACTGAACCTAGCCTTAAGATCAATCTCGGCTTTGTCAATCGTGAAGCTCGCGAGGTAGCAATGTCTTGGGTTCGTGCGCAGTCCAGCGAGTTGAAATTTCCGAACGATACCATATCCCCAGTTTTCAGACGTCTATTTAATATCAATTGCGATACCTTATATGTCTCACCTGATCGATGGAATGATTTCATATATGAACCTATTGAGCAGAGTCCGACCGAGACCGGCCCTGAGGAGATTGATGGACAAATTAAACGACTTGCTATATCAGAGACTCTTATTCGGAGTGGTTTATCCGAACCACTACAAGGCCTTATGCGGTATTTCTATTCACTGAGGATACTCTATATTATTATTAATGATACAGAGGGAGCAGTGGCTGATAATATCCCATCATTGATACCTTACAAGTATCAAGAAATACCTGGAGGGTATAGGTTCTTGTGGAACCCTGAGCTTGGAGCCTTTGAATTTGAGGAAGGTGATGATAATAATGACAATACTTTATCCCAGCTTATTGGAGATTCTATCCTAGTTCTACAAGAGGGCCTTAGTTATATGGAGGTCCCAAGCTTTGAGGTCCGGCTTGTGACCAAACATTTGTACACAAGTTTTTGTTAGAGTAGATTAATTATAAAAACATTTCTCAATATCCAAGTCGAGCCAAAAAAAAAAAAAAAAAAAAAAAAAAAAAAAAAAAAAAAAAAAAAAAAAAAAAAAAAAAAAAAAAAAAAAAAAAAAAAAAAAAAAAAAAAAAAAAAAAAAAAAAAATCAATCAGGGCAGTAGAAAGAGCAAGCTTTATCATGAGTTTGATGCGCGCGGCGCAAAGGTTGATATTATGTCCCACTCGCCTTTATGTACAAGCCTCTCCAGGACACGCGAAAACTTATTACGGTGGCCGTGTTCTTCTAATTTCGAAAATGAATTTCCAGGAAATTCGGGGAATCGAATAAACATACTTAGAACTAGAGCCCTATGGGAAGAGAGAGGGCAAAACATTAAGAACGGAGTCACTCATCTGGAAAGTAGCATATTTTCATACAAATTATATGTATCCTTCTGAATTTTTACTTATCAAAACCCAGTCAAGATCATACAAGTATAATAGTTTCCCAACTAAAGCCATCCGCAGGTATGGCCTCTCCGTTCATCATACCGTGGATATAGCATTCACCAAGAAATCGCCACTGATCCTGCCCGACTCGCCGTATCACATACGGAACAGGGCATCCACTGACCAAAATGATACGATCGCCTCTTGAGCTGGCGCACGGGAACAGTCCAATATAGCCTTTCCCCGTAATACCAAACCTCCGACCGCTCATTGCAGCTTGAAAAGCCGAGAGGGCATTGCCATACGTGGTGCCTATGCTTCTAGTGCTGAGATGGGCTGGCGTCAGCCTTCCCCTTCCTTCCGGCAGTTGCTGACGCTTCGTGTATGACTGGCCTGGTAAGGACGGCGTTCTTCCAGTAGTGGCATCAATGAGAACGCTAAAGACCTCTGCAAATGTGTGCGGAGCTGGGGCGTCTCCTGCCTCATCGACGCCAGCAACAGTCGTGAGCCAGAAGGCGTCGAAAACGGTACATGAGCCGGGATACTGCTTCAACCGGGCTGATAGATCGAGACAAGATAACAAGTCCCGATTTGATGAAGCAGGTTCCTGGTAAGATAGAGACGGGGAGAGGAAAACATCGCTAATATCGACCATCGAGTCAACTTCATGTGCCTGGACATGCAGCTGCTTGTTGTCAGCTGGATTTAGCTCAAAATCAGTCTCGCTATCCCCGGACGCGCAGAACCTGTATCCTGTGTACGTGCGGCCTCCACCAAGTGGTTGGGACAAACGACGACGGTCTGGTCGCCAATCCGGAACCCAAGACGGCAGAGGCGAAGGAATTGTCACTTCGAGCTGTGAAGCTTCGACCGCTGACAGGAGTGAGTGGATTGAATGCTCATATTTCTGAATGCGCCTGGTCTGATCTATTGCCACATCTAAATAGAGCTTTGAGAAGGTATAACCGCTGCTGTAATCGACCCTAAAGCTTCTCTCCTCATCACTGGCCATTGCAAGCATGCCGTAGATTTTGTCGCGTGGGTCACTACATAAAGCATGCTGAGTCGTTTTCAAGAGAGTGAATATATCCTCGCGCCTAAACGTCAGGTACGTTGGGTTAAAGGTCTTTTGGGTCAAGAGTTGGCGGAACGCTTGGCAAGTGTTCGCTGCTTTGGGTCCGTCTTCATTGAGACTCCCTAACCAGCCGATGATTCCAGCATCAACAAGTCGCCCACATCCATTAGAAACGACATCCCAGTGTAGGACATGTGGGCCACATTTTATCCACAGATTCTCAGAAAGGACGACTTCCTGGATGATCCATAGTCTGCCAAACCATGGGCGACAAAGGAGGCTGATCAAGTCTGTCCAGAGGGAAGAATCGCCGGGGGGTAGTTGAGCTTCAGTCAAACCTCCAGGGCAGCGGATTCTGTATGAGTATTGCAATCGGACGCCAATCTCGCTCAAAATGTCAAACGATCCAGGTGTCTTGCTGTCGGCTTCCCCAAGCCACGCTACCGTGTTCATGGCGAGCCCATAGATCTTCCCCATTAGCAAGACTTGTTGTGTCTTCTCTTCCTCGTCGCGCTGGTTGATGCATATTTGATCTACCCATATCAATATCGAGTCCTGGGGATGACGGAAATGCCTGAGTGCCACTTCTAGCGTCTTTGTGATGGTTTTAGCATGTCCATCGCAGTCAATCGTCCCGTCGCAGCCGGGTTCTCCCCACGCGTAGCTTATTGCCGTATATTCCATGGGCCGCTTCTTCCAGTATCTACGACCTGGGAGGTCATACCCAATTTCGCTTTCCATCGAGCAGTGATGGAGAGAAGCACAAAGCCCATCGTCCCAATTGCCAGGCTTCAGCTCCATGACCCGAATCTCATCTGCCCCGTTGAGGCTTTGATAAAGCTTGGCATGGGAACGCGGAGAGGCCTTCTTGATCGTCTCATTCGGCCTCGCAAATTGTACTTTCTCCTCCGGTGCGTACCAGCCCGGTAGAAAATTCCGGACCCATGTGTTATCCTCAACGGCACTCATCTAGCTACGATACTTTATGGCCACAGGGATAAATGCTTGTAGTCTGACCAGCAAGTCATATTATCGAAACCGGTCAGATGAGGGGTACGTGTATATCGCTGCATAGGTATGCTGTCGATACTCTTGGCGCTGTGCCACAGTAAGATTGCGGCCATGTTGCCATCATCTTTGAACGACATATCTATTCACCCACGGCCAAAGGTACAAAGAGCCTCCGAAAATTAATAGTTGCATCAAAAAAAGATTCGGCACTGATGGCCTTGTCGCCAGGACCAACAGCTGCTCAGGAATATAGTATGCATTTGACAGGACACTGTCACATACGACCATACCCATTCGAGAACACGCGATCCCGTCCGCTCTCGCCTAGTTAAACGGATGAGGGGTGGATTAGTAGTTGGGTCGGTGACGACCAGCGAATACCCGCTGTTGTATGTTTTTTTTCCTCTTTTTTTTTTTTGATTTTCGTGCTTGATATTTATGAGTATTTTCTTTACTCTGGTGGTTGTCAAACTGGTCCTACATTACATGGCCTTCGTGGTGGGGACCAACAGCGCTGAGGGCTGTCAGCTGGAGCACCGCTGATGTCATTGGGCTGGTTTGGATGCCGGGTGAGGTAATTGCTTTCGTATTGGTGGTATTGCTCCAGAAGCAGGTCGTCAATTTCAAAGCAACACACGCCGCCGACTACGGACCTCCACAGTTGTGCCATCTGAAGCCCGTGCATGGGTAGGACAGTCGGTCAGTTGGTGCTAAGGCATACACCCTCGAACGGTGATGGGGCTTGTCAATCTCGTCGCTGGCTGTGTCACGGCGTCGGGAAGCTGGACGCTGATGAGTTCGGAAAGGAACGAGAGTGTTATGGTTGTAATTGAGTTAAGGCGTCGTATTGATCATCGCGCTTTTCTCTCTTTGCCCTCAGTTTTTGGCGGCAACTTAAGCCTCCATTTCGAACGCGCCCAGCCCAATTACGTCGTAGGCAGGATGCTAAGCTAGTACCTAGCGTGAAGCAGTTCGCTGCATCTTAGCGCCTGGCAGTTATTCCCGGCTGCTGGGAGGACTGCGGCGTGCGGCACTGCCCAAGAGGAAGGTCTCGCTAGAAAGACAAGATATCTCTATAGGGTGAGGAGAAGGCGGGAGACACCAATGATGAAAAATAAATAAATAATCTCGAATGATGCTTTGGTGATTCTGACTGGCTGTCATTATGCATGGCGCTTGGTTGCGGCTGCCTTTCTTTGTGCATGAGGGTACGTACCTCCTGCCTGCCAGCCCAAACCAACCTCCAGGTGACCAATGAGCCATCCTGGATGGAACGTGGGGAAGCAACGGCCCAGGGACGACCCTTCCATTCTTTCTGGTCCTCCAGCGCCGTAAATGGCCAGCCGAGACCTCTCCATCTTTTTCTTCCTCCTCCTCCTCAGCTTGTCTTGTCTCACGCCCGTCGGCTGCAAGATACCAACCCAACAAGCCACCTCAATTCGTTCCATCTTCGAGTCCCCAATGAGCATGCCTTGAGCACAGGTCACTTCCAGTCCTCAGCGCGCAATTCCATCACCTCTGCCATGTTATAGGCCTCGTCGCCGACCTGCCTTGCTCTCTATGCCTTTGGGCTGTCGTCATCTGATCCCGACCAGTCTCATCATTGCATCCTCTTGCCGCGCGACCAACTGAGCCCTCCTCGACTCGACCGACTCGGCCCTCGTCCGTCCGTTTTCCTCCCTCCCGCCGCCGAGATCACACACCTGTCGAATCGATTGTCAATACAGCCCATCCTGCGTCAACCATGGCTGGGCGTCCTGACCACCAGCGGTCGAGTTCCTACAACGGAGATTATCGTCCAAGCCAACCCAGTGGCCTCCGTCAATCTCACCGCGTGCCTAGCGTCAGCAACCAACTTGCCGAGGGTGCTGCATCCGCCCAGGCCAGCGAGTCCACCCCGTTGATCCAGGGCCAGATCATTGAACCTTCCCATCGTCGACCAAGCATCCACCCCGCCCACGAAGGACTATGCACGCACGGAACCTTCAGCCCAAGGGCTGAGAGTCCAACCGAGGCCTTCTTCGGAAACTGGGATGATGAGGGACCGACCCCCGACCCCAATAACAAAAACTCCGATTCAGACTCGTCCCTGCCCAACTTCACCCCATCCGATGATTGGCACAGATGGCTGAGGAGGCGGATCAAGACGAGGAAGATGGGCCAGAGTAGTGAGCTGGCCCAACAAGCTGGAATTCGAGATACCCCTCTCATGTACGTTCTGTTCCTCGTCGGTCCCAGCCTGAGGATACCTTCATGGTGCCCAAGCATGGCGGGAAAGAAAAGCTTCATTATTCTAACAGAGCATGCAGGTATTTGTCCTACTACATCCCATTCCTGACATGGATTCAGCAATACAACTGGTCATTTTTGAAAGGCGACCTTGTCTCCGCATTGACCATGGCGTCTTTCTATCTGCCCATGGCACTCTCCTATGCCTCCAACCTGGCTCATGTCCCTCCCATCCACGGTCTCTACGCCTTCGTATTCAATCCCTTCATATACGCCGTCTTCGGCTCCTGTCCGCAGATGGTTGTTGGGCCTGAAGCCGCCGGGTCACTGCTAGTAGGCGCCGCAGTAAAGCAGAATCTTTCAGATGGTGGGGAGGACGACGACGTCCTTCACGCCCAGATTTGTGGTGTAATCACCGGATTGGCAGGTGCCATGGTCCTAATTGCTGGGCTGGTGAGGCTTGGATTTTTGGATAGTGTGCTCAGCCGCCCCTTTCTCCGCGGCTTCATCAGCGCCATCGGTTTCGTCATCGCAGTAGACCAGCTCATCCCTGAGCTTGGACTGTCTAACCTCACTGCCGGGACAGGTGTTAGCCACGGGAGCAGTGTGGATAAAATCAGGTTCATTATCAGCCATGTCGACAAGACTCATATGCCAACATTTGCTGTGGCTGCCACAAGCTTCGTCATCATCATGGTCTGCCGGTATGTACACATTGAACCCCCTGGGAGAATCAACATCGAGCCCAGCGTCCAGTTTCTATGAATTGTACAGCTAATCAACCTTTTCCTCATCTATAGTGAAGGCAAGAAGTATCTTCAGCCCCGTTATCCTTCTGTCGTGTTCTTCCCTGACCGGTTTATTGTTGTTGTTGTGTCTGCGGTTCTCTGTTGGAGATATAACTGGCATGATCATGGCGTTGAAATTCTCGGTGAAATCAAGACTGCCAGCGGAGGCTTGTTTGCTTTCCAGTGGCCATTTCAGCCAGCGCTAATGGACCATATTCGCGCGGGAATGACGAACTCTTTTCTCATTGCTCTCCTCGGCTTCTTCGAATCTTCCGTAGCTGCCAAGAGCTTGGGTGGAAGCAAAACTATCCAAGGCATGCAGCTCAGTGCGAATCGTGAACTGATTGCTCTCGGAGTTGCCAACTTTGTGGGCGGGTGCTTTTCCAGCATTCCGGCATTTGGAGGTTACGGCAGGAGCAAGGTGAACCAACAGACTGGCGGCAAGAGCCCGATGAGCTCCGTATTCCTCAGTATCATCACGCTTTTCTGCATCTTGTTCTTGCTACCTTACTTTTATTATCTTCCTGTTCGTACCATCCAGTTCTTCCCTTTCTCCTTCCCTCCCCATTTCTTGTACCTCCGTCTCGAAGCCACAGATTACTAACAAGCCCATAGAAACCTGTCCTCTCTGCTATGATTTCGGTTGTGGCATTCTCCCTCGTAGAAGAAGCGCCACACGATATTGCCTTCTTCGTCCGCATTCGTGGGTGGGCAGAGCTAGGGTTGATGGCTATGATCTTCCTTGCCACAATATTCTATTCGTTGACGTTCGGTATGGCTCTCGGAGTCGGCGTGTCGCTTCTCATGGTGATCCGACACAGCACGCGTCCCAGGATTCAGATCTTGGGCCGCATTCCTGGGACTAACCGTTTTGAAAACGCCGAGTCGGCAAACGCAAACGTGGAGTTTGTCGAAGGCTCCCTGATTGTCAAGATCCCCGAGCCACTGACGTTTGCCAATACTGGCGAACTCAAGGCACGATTACGGAGGTTGGAGATGTATGGGACTTCTTCGGTGCACCCAGCCCTCCCCGCCTTACGCAACACGGAGGCAAACAGGAACATTATCTTCGACATCCACGGTGTGACATCGATCGATGGCTCTGGGACTCAGGTTCTAACCGAGATCGTCTCCGACTACAGGGCCCGAGGCGTGCGAGTATTCTTCTCGAGAGGGCCAACACCTGGAGGAAACAGCCCGGTGTGGAGGCTAATGGAAAACAGCGGGATTGTCGAGATGTGTGGCGGCCCGAGCCACTTTGTCAACGACGTGGAGGAGGCTCTGAGGCGGACAGAGTATGAAGAGAGCATCTTGACGACTGAGTAGATATGTGCACATGCGTTAATGATCGAACGATATAGCAATCAAAATCATGACGGTGACAAGGGAGAAACAGGGTGAGCAATCATTCTCTGTTCCAGCTCTAGGCTTACCATATCGATGAGCCACGTTACAGCCCGCTGGGGGGATTTGATTATAGAACATTCTGCATTTAGAGCTGATTCAGGTTGATATTTAGCGGCTTTCTGCACATTTTGAATAAAGAATAGTCTTTGAACATAGAGATCACATACAGAACAATAGGATGGCGAGCAGCCGTGCAGAGTTGGAAGCTTGGGTAACAAAGGGTTCGGGATCTCTATTCTACCTACCTGCCTCAGCAAGCGTCCTGCATCCAGCCACCAACCGCCATCTTGTTTTGCCTTCCGAAGGCTTGCTGTCTGCATACGATATCTATCCTGCCGGCGTGCGCTGTGAACCCAATGGCCTGCTCGCCAAGACGGTATCGGCTTCCCAAGGACGAGAATGAACTCCCACGTACCGACCTACCTACTTCCACATCTGCAAGACCTGGAGGAAAAGCTGCGTACAATCTCCCGCCACAAACGCGTCCTTGGCCGGCCGGCCGCAGATAGAACGACGATGGTCTTTGTGATGATG